GGTAATTACAGTGAAAGAGTTTATTTTAAATGTAAATATTTGAACAGATTGCTGAAAACCAGCTGAGAAAGTTTTCCCCTGGAAGCTTTCCTTTCTCTATAAAACTAGCTGTCATTATTCTTGATCTAGTTAAGGATTCTCTTCCTCTCCTATATTATGATTAAGAGATGGGCTGATTTATATCTTTTATCTCTGGAAATCTAGTACTTGTTTGCCTCTCAATAGCTTTGGGTTGAATTTGATGCTAATGATGGTGAAAGCGCTCATAGTAGTAATCTACATAAGCTTTTCCAATCTGAAATCTGTTCAGAAGCAGGAATGCCAGCTGTATCAAAACATTTGGTTGTGAGTTGGGGATAGATAATCATTAGAGAACACTACATTCATTTTCACTTGTGATCCAGAATTTGAAGTATTATCTCCAGAGAGAAAAGGTTGGCACATTTACATCCTGTGCCTGTGTTGATTGTTGAACTTAAGATCTAAAATATTTGTATTTTAAAGAAAGCTATAGTAGAACTCTTATTTATACTATATAATAATATATATGGAGTACATGATAGTGTGATATAGCATGAACTGGGGATTCTAATGTTATTCCTTGATGATGAAATTTTGCGTGATTATATTCAATATGACAGAAAAAAGCATTCTTGGAATGTTTTAGAGAGGTTTTAATTTTTTTATATTGGGACTACTTTTTATCCCTCCACTTGTAAAGCCAGCTGCCTTTGTTATCATTATTCAACCCATAGAGGGCTCATAAAGACTTCTAAAAATTACATAAGTTTTTTTCCAGATATAAAGATGCCACAATTTTAAAGCGAGATATCTGGGGCCTCTCCAGGGCACAAAAGGATGTTGTGCCTCCCACAGGGAAGCTGAGGATCTTCTCTTCCCAGAGATATACCAGTGGGAAGGTCCTATTTCTAGCCCTGAAGGTCTGTGAGATATCAAACTCGAAAAGTTATAACGTATTTGAGAACAGACGTTGTCACTAGCTCCAGATTGAATGTTTGAAACAAATAAATTAGGGATGAGGAAATTCTGTATATTAGGGAAAGAATACAAAAGAGGTTCATATAAAAAAAGCTCTTGGAAGCTGGGTAGTGGTTTGGAATGTAAGAATAAAACCTGGGGAGATGGATTTATGGGCAGAGGGCAGACAAAGCTTGAAAAGGTACAGGATAAATTGCAAAAAACGTGGCAAACGTATCACATGACTCTCACTTCTATGGGATATTTATACATATGAACACACCTTATTCAGGGAGGTTATATTGGATTTACTTTAAGAATGGTAAATTTGAGGCCCTAAACAGATTGAGAGTCTCTTTCAAGGCTCATATGACCTATAGCAGCCTCTGCAAGATGAGAATTGTGCTAAATTTAAATTTAAAAAAACCTCATCCTGATTAATCCAGCGTCACTTTATGACAACCCAAATTCTTGACTCATTAGGATGAATGATTATGAGGAAAAGGATTTCATTTTTATTTTGCTATACTTAGTGGCATATAATTATTTTTAAAATAACTTGAGAGAGTCACATATGAAAAATATAATGACACTTGCATCTATGATATATTTTCTGTTTTGGGGAAGTACAGTGGTTCTGACATTCTGGATCTGAAACTAAAAAGAGGAGCACAAGTTATATTTTGTAAAGAAAAAAGACCAAGTGTGGCATATCATTTTTAGGAATTTGATGGGTTTCCTTTTAGCAATCCCTAAATAGGTATAATGGGAGAAATAGTGGCCTCAATTTTTTCTTAAAGAATAAAGGACGATTACGGAAATATTGACTAAAGAAAATATTGTAATATATATACAGCACATTGTGTTAGAACTGCCTAACTGTTTCTAAGCAGTTTGGCTAAAAAAAAAAGAATGTGTATGTTTATTCTTACCGAACGCATGCTCCCAGAAACATCAAGTACTAGACAAACTACTCTGTCTTTGGTCTGCAGCAATGAGAAGGAGGTCTCAAATGGAGGACTTGTGCTATTTATTGGAGAGGTGTTACTGAAGTCAGCAGAGTTCATAATTACTTCCCAGGTGCTTTTGTAGTTGCACATTTTGTTCTGCAGATTTGTAGCCTTTTCATTATGAGTACTTTGATCACAGAACTCAACCACCTAAAAAAAGCCAATTGGAAGAGAAGAATGATTACTGAAAAGCAAGTGAACGCATGTAGTAGCAAATCCCAGTCTACTATTTTTCCATTGCTCACCACAACCACAAATACAGAAATTCTTTGTCTGCTCTAAAGGCTATAATAAAATCCTTCTACCTCATGGACCTTGGAAGAAGTCATCAAAGAAGAGTGTTCCCAAAGAATCTGTCTCAGGGGTTACACAGGTATGTCCACACTGCAATCAGAGGTATGACTGGAGCTCAGGCAGGCGTACACATGCTATCTTTAATCCAGCTAGTTTGTCTATTGATAGAAGTAACGATGTGGCAGCGTGGGCTGTACAAACCCACCCAGAACCCTGGATATATACTCCACATTGCTAGCCCGCACCAGTGTCCATGCCACCATGTCTTCGCTGCTATTTTTGGCCTTGCTAGCTAGATTAAAGCTAGCACCAATATGCGTACCTGAGCTTCTGTCATACCTCTGAGTGCAGTGTAGCCATACCTGTATTTAATCAGTGTTGTAAGGATGCACTGGCAATGAAGATATCATCAGTAAAGTTCACAGTTATCTAGTTACTATGGAGTCTCAGTGAATTGATACATAAGGCTCTAACTCACCTGGCTGGCAGGAATACTTTTAAAGAGGATGAACAGCCCGCTGTGTCTGTCCCCCCCTTGCTACTCCCAGCAGGGCAGAATTTAGCCCATAGAATATTTTCAAAGCTCCAGAAGTAAGGTGCGGAGTGTCTCTAGCAAGTTGCTGAGCACACTCAATATCCATACATATTAGTGGGAGCTTAGCACATCACAGGATTAGACTGTCACAAAGGAATAAACCTTCTCAGTGTTGTAACAGAAAATGCCCCAGCTGGGTAACTTTGTTATCTGACCCAAACGGGAGCAAAAGTTTCCACAATGTCAGGGTATTTCCATACACCTGTGATGGGACAGATAGGCCCCACACTGGCAACGAAAGGGTTAATGAGAACCTATGGACTCAGTTGGCCCCACCCTACTACACCAACAGCAAATGTCAGGCATGGAGAGAGGAGCTAAAGGAAACTAAACTCAGGGCTTCCCAGGAAGAAAAGCAGAACTCCGCTTCTCCAGAGAGAAGCCTGGTTGCAGATCAGAGTCTGAGCCAGCTTGCTGGCCTGAGAAGCTCCTGTTAGAAGGGACAACCAGCTCCTGGGGGATCAGCAGAATTAAGAACTGTTTGCAGACAATACTTGAATAGAAAGGCTGGGTCCCATATAAGTTTCATCGGACAACTCTGTTTTGAGTTGTGTTTTTTGTTGTTGTTCCTGATTCCTGTGGAAGGGGTAGGACTCAAGTGAGCCTTGGCCGGAGGGCAAAAGCAATGCTACTTTTGACCTCGTAGACATAGCAACATAGCAGCAGAGACCTGCAGCTGGATTAATCATATCCTGAGAGGCCACAAGGGGGCACTACAGAGGCAGCCCATGCAGAAAAATCTTGGGGGAGAATGCAGGCACAGATCTAGCACCAGGGGAAGGGAGGAGGTCAGGATATTTAAAAAAAATCAACACACATAAGAAAGAGACTCCCCAGCAGTATGCACATGGAGCAACTATTGAAATCAACGGTGGAGCAGAACACCCACCAACACCAGCAGCAACAGTGGCTCCTACAGCAAATGGACACTCAGCAGCAGCAACTGACTTGAGACTTAGCTGCTCAGCAGCAACAGCGACAAAGGCTGGTGCAAGAGGACGTGACCTGACTGCAGCCTCCCATAATGGTCAAGCTTCTGCCATGGGTCTGGTGGATATAGACCTGGCCTTGGCCCTGGTACAAGTCAGATTCATGAAGATGGGGCCTGAAGATGATCCAATGACTTTTCTTGAAAATTTTCAATGGGTGGCAGTGGCAGCACGGTGGCCGCCGGAGCATGAGCAGTCATACCAGTTACCTACTTGATCAGGACAGAACCACAGGCTGTCTATTGTGGGCTAGACCCAGCGATAGCATGGGATTATGCCTCCGATAGCAAACTTTATGCCTTTGGCAAGGTGGCCATTTTAAACTCATTGGATATCTCTAGGGGCCTGGTCCTGCATGGTGGCACAGAAATTACAGGACTTGTGCTGGTGGTGTGGGATGGGTTGGGAGCTCGCAGGGCAGGGGACTGATAACAAGGTCTGGAGGGCCTGGGGTCAGGAGCTGGTGGGAAGCACCCTCCTGCAGTACCTGCTCAAGGAAAAACCGAGAGGCAGGCAATAAGGCTGCCCGCACCTCCTGGAGTACACACTGGGAAGTCTGAGGGGTGGAGAGCCCTTTGTGCTGGCCAAGCATCAGGGGATCCATCCAATCTCCCCAGTTATAGTCCAAAAGGTCTCCAATTCTGGTCATTCCTGCCAGGACCAACCTCTGATGTACCAAGTGGGACTCCCCCACCTGCAAACCAAATTGGGGATTGTGTAGCAGGGCCTCTGTGAGAAGATCTGCTGGTGGCCGACACAGACCTGGTCACTGAAACCAGTTTTCAGGTCTGGAGGAGATCCCGGTAGAAGTCTTGCAGAAGACCCATCGGAGATAAAAGAGCTGCCAATCATATTTGAGCCCTCAGATCTGGTAAAGGAAGACGTGCGCCAACGTGCTCCATGCTGAACTACCTGCACCATAAAGGAGTCTCTGCAGGGCCTGGAGGCAGAGGAGATGGACCTGACTGCAAAGGTAGAACGGGCTCTGTTCTTCCTTCTCCAGGGGAAGACTCAACACCACCACCCCCCTCCAGAGACACAGAGCAGTCCTGGCCAAAAGAACTCCAGAGCTAACCTCTGGAGCCAGGCCAGGATATCCCAGGCCAGGCTCAGAGTGTTGTGCCGGTGCCAGAGCCTGTACAGTACCAGCTAGTTGAGCACCAGTGCCCTCCCCCACAGGGAAAGGCACTGGAGCAGTCCTGCCCACCTCCTCAGCTGCTCAGCCACCCTGTCCTTCAAATCTTGCTAGTTCTCCAGCAGAGAGGGATGGATGGCACCAAGATAAATGCCCAGATAGAGCAGCGGCCCCACGCTCCACCAAATGACCTGAAGCACGGGTGGGAGGGAACTCGCTACCATCCATCCCCGACCACCAGGCCAGAGCTCTTGAACCACTTGACTGGAGTGGAGGAGGCCACCGAGTAGATAGCCTGTCAGGCCTCCAACCTGCGACAAGTCACCGAGGACATACCACGAGGAGTATGTCATCAGCATATGCTGACAGGACCACACACAACTCTGGCTCATGGAACACCCACCCTGTTAACCTCCTACATAGGAGATGGAGGAAGGGCTCAATGGCCAGAGTGTTCAGCTGGCTTGACAGTGGACATCCTTGACACACCCCTCGCCCGAAGCCTGACAGGTTCGGTCAGAGTCCAGCTGAGCCTGACTAAGCACTCCATGGAGGCGTACAAGACCTGGAGAAAACCCACAAACTGGGGCCTGAAGCTGAATGCCCGCAGAGTGCCCTGGAGATAACTGTGTTCCACCCTGTTAAATGCATTCTCCTGGTCAAGGGACAGGAGGGCGAATGACAGACCATCCCTACACCCACGCTCAAGGAGGTCCCGGACCAGATAAAGATTGTCGAAGATAGGATGGCCACGGATGGTGTAGGTCTGGTCGGGGTGGACCACATCCGCCTGCACGGACCCGAGCCGCAGCAAGATGGCCTTCGCTGTGACCTTCTAGTCCTTGCTGAGAGATGGGAGGACAATTCTGAAGGTCACGGAGGTCCCCCTTCTTTGGTAGCAAGGTGAGTTAAGCTTGCCTGCACAACAGGAGAGTCACCCCACTTCCTAAAGACTCAGCCCAGATGATGGCAAGGTCCAGACTGAGGACATCCCAGAACACGCGGTAGAACTCCATGGTCAGCCCGTCCATATCTGGAGATTTATTAGTGGGCATCTGATGGAGGGCTTCTGAGAACTCGGTTAAAGTGAGAGGCAGCTCCAGCTGGTCCTGGTCACCTGTGCTGACCATCAGGACTCCATCCCAGAGCACCCTGCAGGCATCAGTGTCAGTTGGACCAGGGAGAAGGGTCTGGAATAGAAGGTCTTGGCCCTCACATGCATCTCCACCGGATCCGTGAAGGGGTGCCATCCTCTGCCAAAAGGCAGGTGACATGCTTCTTAGCCCCCTTCTTTTTCTTCAGGGCGTAGAAGAAGTGGGAGCCACAATCCATCTCCCAAAGGAAATGAATGCGGGATTGAACAAAGGCACCTCGAGACCAACGGTCTTCGAGGGTTCAGGAGAACCAACAGCTAAGCCAGCGCTTTCTACACTTAAACACCAATTAATTCCCCCCCAGGGTGGACCCGACAGGGCCTAATTAGTGGATTAGAATGGGCTGGGAGAGGACTAATGAGCAAATTGGCCCATTAACACAGGAGGTAGAAAAAGGCACAGGAAGGCAATGCAGGGAAGAGTGGAAGGCAGACTAGCAGAGCCAAAACCAGGAAGGATCTCTGAGTAGAGAGATCCCTTCCCTCTCCTCTCCTCAGAGAACTGAGGAGAAACTGAAACTGTAAACAATTATGGTGCATGGATCAGTAAGTGGGTGGGAAGAGCAAATGCAAATAAACTGCACTGGAGTGTTTGACAACTTAAGGTCCCTGAGTCTCTGAAGACAGAGAGAAGACAGGAGCAGGACATTGCCCTGTCAGAATGTCAGTCTCTTAAAGCCATAGAAAGCTGAGGAAGGCCTATCTGTAGCTCATGTGAACCTTCTGTTAGGTGGTGTTAGCAGCAACAAGGGCCAGGTTCAATATCTGAGGTAGAGAGCAGCTGAGGAGTGCATAGTCAGGTTCCAAGACAGAGTCAGTTCCAAGGGTCAGAGTCCAAGTCACATTTTGGGGTCCAAGTCAGAAGGTGAAGTCCCAATCAAGCTGAGATTGGCCAGCTACGGAGAATCCATGCTGTTCCCTGGACACTTCCTGGAATGCCCCTTAGATTTATATAGGGTGGGGAGCCAATCAGGAGTCATGGGGCTGCTGTCTGTCAAACCCCTCAAGGTGGGACTTCCCATGGTCTGTGTCCGCAGCAGGTCATGGGCAGTGGCTGGAAGGATACTACAACCAGTTTGTACCAGGGTTTTCATCTATTGTGCCCTTTCTCAAGAATCTGCTCAAGAACAGCAGCCTGAGAAAGATCCGTTGGACAGAAACCTGTGAGAAGGTCTTTCAGCCACAAAAGGCTCACCTCTGTAGAGAGCCCATTTTATACAGCTTGGACTTCACCAAGAAATTCCTCCTTCACACTGATTCTTCTGAAGCTGGATTGGGGGCTGTCTTCTCCCAAGTGGTTGATGGTGAGGAACATCCCATTCTGAGTTACAAATTGTTCCCAAGAGAGGTCTACTCCATTATAGAAAAAGAGGACTTAGCTGTGAAATGGGCCATGGAAGCTCTCCAATATTACCTTCTTGGCAATTAATTCACCCTGGTTGTGGATCATGCACCTCTACGATGATTCCATGCCATGAAGGAAATCAACCCCCAACTCATAGTGATACCGCTCTCTCCAGACCTTCTCCTTCTATGTCTGGCATAGGACTGGGTTGCTCACTGAAATGTAGACTTTTTCTCTCAGTAGAGGGGAGCTGCAGGGCAAAGCAGTGCCCTAAGTAATATCCTTTGTGGGTGGGTGGATGATAAGGCAAATAGGCCTGGCAATGACAAGGTTAAGGAAAGCCTGTGGATCCACCTCACTATATTTCAGCAAATGTTGGACATGGGGAGGGAAGGACTGGAAATGTTGCTCCGAAAGTAGAGGGGAAGTTTTTTGGGCAGAGTACTGGGTGGAAAGAGGCTTGGAACTCTGAGCAAAGAAAATACCCCCTGTTGTTTGATTCCTGCTGTCTTCAGAGTGACAGGACTTTATGTATATTCTTTGTAAACAAACAAGATTGCATCAAAGAAATACTTTACTCCATATCAGTTTCTCCTAATGGAAACAACCTACAAGACCCCGAATATTGGCTATCCAATTGGGACAAAAACCAGTAACAATACTTACAGTAGGGAGGCTTTGCATGTACATTATAGATGCTGGGGAAATTTGTGTTTTATATGGTATAAATTTACATCCAGCTTCATACAGCTTTGTCTGTTGATCATATTTGCATTCTCTTGTCGTGCAGCTGCTTCCCATGCAGCTTTGGACTATATATTGACCAGTGACATCAGCCGAACATCTGAAGGAAGGTGAGATAAAAAGCCACATATAATCAACAAATAATAATCTGTTATTTATTATTTGAATCATGATGGGCCCAAAGCCTCCAAACATGATTGGCATTAATTAGACACCATGGGCAGAGGGTGAACCACGGACTTGGGGAGGTTAGCCCTCTGGCTGCCCCATCCCTTCTGCCTGGGGCCCTGCCCCTTCTTCCCACCTTCGCCTGCTGGAGCCCAGAGGCCTCCCCTCACTAGCCCTGGAGCGCCCAGTGGGCGGGCAGCACGCCCCACCCCTCCAGGCCCAGAGCGGCAGGCAGGCGGGCAGGCAGGCAGCTGAGCACGGCCCCCAGTGCAGAGGGGGGCGGGTAGCACTCCCCACCCCCACAGAGCACCAGGTAGGTGGGCAGCACAAGCACCGGCTTCAGCCGCCCAGAGTCCCTGGCTGCAGGCCGGCCCCCACTAGCCCCAGCCTGGGGCAAGGGCTCTGGAGCCCTCCCAAGAGTGGGAAGTCCGGAGGCTCCCACCCAAGGTGGAGGGAGAAGCAGCCCCTGCTCATGTCACTGGCCCCACACCCAGGGCAGGTGGAGGGCAGATGCAGGGACCAAGGCTCCCCACAGCTGCCCGCATAGCTCTCCCCAGAGCCACATTCTGGCCATTATAAGAGCCCGGTGAGCAGCTGTGGGCAGGTGGAGGGTCCGTGGCTCTTACTGTGTCCAGGCTGCAACTCTGAGGCTCGCCCCGGCTGGATCTGGGTCGGGGAGAGTCGTGCAAGAAGCTGTAGGGAGCTGGTGCGGAGTCACGGACCCTCCTCCTACCGCGGGCAGCCGGGCAGGGGGGGACGTGGTTTGGGGGCTGATCTCAGCCCTCCCCCCCGCCCACACGCTGGGCAGATGGAGGGTCTGCCACAGCTCCCCACAACTGCCCAGGCTCCCTGGCTGGACTCCATGCTGGCCTGGCCAGGGGCTGGGGCTTGAGGGGGGGAAGAGGAGGGGAAGGGGTGTGGTTTGGCCAGGCCCGTCCACTTTCAAAAAATGGGAGGGCTATGGCCCCAGGGTCCTCCCTTGTTCCGACACCACTGGCCCGGGGCCCCAGCCACATGAGAAGGAAGAGTCACAGCAGAGCGCAGCTGGAAGCAGGAGGGGGTCTAGGGGAGGAGTGTGGGTGGGCCACGCAGGCAGTTTGGGTAAGCTTAGCTTCCCCTGCCTTTGATACCCACTGCCCATGTTAGACACCATCTCTGCTCCAAAGACTATACAATCTAATTTACAAGTGGTCACAATAATAAATACTGGTAGTTTTTTTTCCCCAGTTTTTTTTCCCCACAGCTCCCTACAGCTGTAGGGAGCAGGCCCAGAGTCACAGACCCTCCTCCTTCCCTGGGAAGCCGGGCAGGGGGGACATGGTTCGGGGGCTGCTCTCAGCCCCCCTCATCTCCTACCTGCACCCCAGGCAGGTGGAGGGTCTGCCACAGCTCCCAACAGCTGCCCAGGCTCCCCAGCTGGACTCCATGCTGGCCTGGCCACGGGGTGGGCTTGAGGGGGGAAGGGGAGGGGAAGGGGTGGGTCCGACCAGGCCCATCCACTTTCAAAAAGTGGGAGGGCTATGGCCCCTGCATCTCTCCTGGTTCCAGTGCCACTGGCCCAAGGTCCCGGCCACACGAGAAGGAAGAGCCACAGCAGAGCGCGGCCGGAAGCAGGAGGGGGTCTAGGGGAGGAGTGCGGGTGGGGCCAGGCAGGCAGTCTGGGTAGGCTTAGCTTCCCCTGCCTTTGATACCCACTGTCCATGTTAGACACCATCTCTGCTCCAGAGACTTTACATTCTAATTTACAAGAGGTCACAATAATAAAATACTGGTAGTCTTTTTTTTTTCCAGAGGCATCCTCACGAAATTATTTATAGGTTGTGTGTGAAACACCATCTATGTGAAGAATAACAATGCAAGTGCCTCCACTAGTCCATCAATATACCTCAATCCAGACATGAAGGACCCTCTCCTGAGGTGAACGGGTACTACATTCTCCATGCCCGTTCAATCGCTGTCTCTGGGACAGAGTTCTAGGGTTAGAGCTCACCCAACACTCTGATCACCAAGCTATTCCCCTTGGAGTGGACTTAACTGGGATATGGGTGCTCAATGGCTTAATTAGACACTGGGCTGATGTACTAATGAGAGCAATCAACCCATCAGCTGGGAGCAGATAAGAGGCAGGAAGGAAGTGCAAGAGGAAGAATGCCAGGAGACACAGGAGCTCAGGATGAGGAGATCTTTCCCTCTGCTACCCCAGAGAGTGGGCTATGGGGAAGTTTCTGTACACTCGTATGTTGCTGCCCAAGGCTGTGCTGATGAACTTGTGGAAGGGACCTAATAAATAACACACTGATGCTTATAAACTTGGAAAGTGTCCAGCAGGGTTGCGGTGTTTGAAAGGGCGGAGCAGGGAGCCCTGTCACAGTCTCCTTCAGTGGTGACTGCCAATTAGAGTGCCAATTGCAGTACAGAAGTTTGGTGATGTTGATATTTGTCCATTAGGAATTGTCCACACAGCAATTATTTCATATTGGTCAACAAGTGACTGGCAGATGGTAATGAATTTTAGGCACTACCAAACGAGTTCCAGTTCAGACCAGTGCCCGAGAGGTAAAAAGTTCTGTATCCCATTTCAAACCCACTGAGATATCCAGTCTCACTCTGTTTTTTGTTTCTCATTGACAGAGTTGTACACTAAAAAAACCCCACTTAAATATGCAGAATCTAGAGAATATTATCATAAGATAGTAATAGCACTAAAACAGGGTAATAATGGGGGGTGTACTTTGACCATGTCTCTTTTAAATATTTAAATAACACTAAATATGAACCAGTAGAAATGTTTTGGAACTTTAAGGATCCCCCACAGAGGAACTTGAGAAAACATTCTTATTTACTACATGCTAACTGCTATTTGATAAAGCCAGGGTAAATCAAAACGTAGAGAACGGTAACTCATATCTGTAATTGCACCTAAATTAAAGCTCATTTAGTGGTAAAAATGTGATGCATTACAAAATGATAGTGAAGATTCAATGAGACTTATCTGTGGGCAGCAATATTGTTAGTTAAACATTGTCCTATAGCTTCTTTTTTAATCCTATGAACAACTCGACAAGACTCTTCATATAGGGCTCAAAGTACAGACTGAACACAGATAACCAGTATGTGCCAAGTATCACTGAGATATTTAAAATTTCATCAACTGAAGACAAAATATGAAAACATTGGTACCTAGTTGCTTCAACACTTGCTTTTCCAGAGTTTACAGACACATAGAAAGGTGCATCGTTATTATATTCATCAAATACTCCCCAACGAAGATGGACCCATTCATGGACAAAGACTTTAGCTGCGGAAGAGCAGGAGCATATGTGAATTCTAAATACAACACTTTACAGTTTACTTTATATTTCCGTAGATCATTTAAACAAATTTAGGCCCAATCCTACAATCGCCTCTGCTTGGACATACCCCTGTGCCCACACAGGACTCACTGTGGGATCCGGCTTGAAACCCAAATAGATCACTGTGTTCACATTAACCCTCCCAGAATATTAACAGACCTAAGTAAAGATCTGTTTCCATACAGGAGCTTCTGACAATTCCAGGTATCAAGCAAGATTTCTCATGTTACCCATGTCTTTTAAAATCATAATTCATGGCTCTTATATAACACAAAGGAAAAGGTGTATATTAGAAAACCATAGAGAAGTTAGTTTAATTTCAGTCCAGGGTAAAACTAAGGATTACGTAGATAGTTGAAGGCGGAAAAAGTGTAAAAGATTAGACAACCAGAATACTTTTGCAGAAAACCAAACGATCTCACCAAGACAATCTAACCCCTTTCTTGCAGGTGTTGGTAAAACCATTGACATGGAGAATGTATATCATGTTGTCTAACTAAAGCTTTCAACTAAAGATGGGCCAAGGAAGCAGAGCTCAACTCAGATTAAGTTTAAGCCAGAATTCAAGGTTTGAGTTCAATGCTTCACCCAGCTAGAATTTGGGTTTGTATTTGATTAACTAGAATCCAATGAATTATTCTAAGGAGATTATTGTCCCAAACTGCCAGAAATCTGATGAGAAAGACCGTTCTTGTGAGATTTCCACCATTTTAGGCCAACAAACCTCTAAATTTTTGATCCAAGCTAATGCAGGTTTGTCTTGGATTTGAATCCAAATAACCTTGCACATTTACCAGGGTTCAGATTTGAGGGACGGTTTTGACCTAGCTCTGTTTTAAAAGAAACACATAAATGATTGATTCTAACTTGTGTATGGACAGTATATTGGTTAAATGGGCATAGGAGAAAATCATTGTTAATGACAGCAGGTTATACTGCACAAAACGGAGAGGTCTCTATTGGGGCTTTTTTATTTGCTTATTAATGGCCTCACATAGGCAATGACTATGGAGTCAAAAAATGTGCTGATGAAATCAAAATGGGAATATTGTTAATGCCTTGTGAATGTACACTTACAAGAAGAGTAGTTGGGCAAATGTGACTTTCAGAAGTTGCAATAAAAACCTTCACGTCCTCAGAGGAGGATCCGCTCATGAGAGTTTGGTCTATTCTAGAATCCTTTGGGACTGGTTTTACCTGCATGCTCACCAGGTTACACCCACCTCAACTCTCAGATTAGTTTACTGCACTGTAATGTTAGGAAATAGATTATTTCCAAGTCAAAGCAATGATTTATGAGGAAAAACAACCCTCATTTACTGTAAAATTATTAGCCAGTATTTTCAGAAGACTTGTCATTTTAGGTGCCCCCATTTCTGAGTGTTCAACTTAAGACTCATCCAGGGAGCCTGATGTTTAACACTGTGTGAAAAAACAGGCTCTTTTAAAGTTTCACAGGTTGGGCAACCAAAACTGAGGCATCTCAAATCACTAGTCACTTTGAAAAATCTCGGCCATTGCATATTTATACAACAAACGCAGAAAATTAAGGTCCAATAGATGGTGCTACCTCGTGATCCATAGATGTTATACAAAGTGTCATTTAACAGGAAGTCGGGAGTGAAATGAATGTATCGTCCCTTTTCCCCACATCTTCCATATTGCAGCGTGTAGGGATCGTCTCCGTACTTCAAGTAAGGATTAGCCACGATAACATCTGCCTGAAAATAAAAAAAGCCCTTGTTTAAAGAGCAGCAGGAAATGGAGGGTGGCAGATGATTCTCCTGAATGGGCTCATCCTGCAGCTTTTACTCACGGAACACCCCCATTGATTGTTTCCCTGGGTAAGGACTGCAGGACTGGGCACTAGAGGGCAATACAAATTCTAAAAAGAGCAATTTATATTCCCTTGTTATTGGAAAAATTTAGGGCTTGTCTACATGGTGGGGTTGGGCTGATTTCTAAAGTGCAGCACTACGTTAAAGTGCATTAGGGAACATTTAGTGCACACCAGCAGGGTCTACAAGGATCAATTACTGAGCAACACGTTAGTGTGTTTTAGAAATCATACCTCCGTAGTGTGCATTACTCCACCTTGTAGACAAGACCCTATGTCATAAGAGTATGAACACAACAAATACTTTTGATACTTACCTTATCATATGACTCTGTTTTTACACTTAAATACTCAGGTTTTGGCAGCCAATGCAGAGGAATTATAATTTTTACAGCCTTGAAAAAAAATCTCTGTTTTGTAGCATTGAACAAGAAAGTAGAAGCCTCTTTGACCATGGCCTAGTAGGGAAAGAAAAGAGTTATGAATTAAAAATTGAACGGTAGAGGCAATGAGTAGTTTAGCCTTGCCAGGAAACAAGGGTACATAAAGTAACATTAAATATATGAAGGCATAGAAAGAAACCAACCTTGGCTAAGGGAAGGGCTGGAACAGATTATTTCCCTCATGGAGCAAGGACAGACCAAATTGTAACTCTGAAAGACTTTGGATTGCTCTAGGACAGTACAAATATACACCGCCCCTTGCTCAGGGCTTATGATAAAAAACACAATCTGTCCCTTAAAATAAAACTCGAAAGAGATCCTTCCAAACATGAAATTTCCCCAAAAAAGTTACATGGGCTTGCGGTGAAGGATGGTTCTGTCCTAGACCAGTCCTTTTAATTAATCTGTAAAGTGTACTGCGGTGCTTGATGAATCAAATACAATAATAAATAGTAAGTAATAATCTGTGGTTTCCTTTTTCTTCTCCCTGTGATTCCTCATTTTTCTGCTCCACCTCTATTAGGTTCTACTTTCTTCCTGCCTCTACAGTGGGCACTACTTTGTCACTATTTTCCTGTTCCCCTCCTCCTTGCTCCTTCCCCACCTCTCCTGAGTAGTTTGGGGGTCACTAGTTAATGGCTATGCCCTCCTTAGTTTATTGTTCTCTTTACAGCAACTGAATGCTCAATGATCAGATCATGTGAACATGGATCAAAGATCTACACTGTGACACTGAGAACTTAAAGAATAACTAAAAACAGAAATATCATTATATATACACACACATACATATATACACACAGCAAGGGTTTTTAAGAATATCTGCAAGGACTGGGGGAAAGGACGGATAAAAGCAAATGGCAAACATTGTAATGGAGGTGCAGTAATTGGCAATTAAATATCCATGTTCTGGAGATTCTCTGGTCTAAGGTACTCATGTTTTGGAAAGAAGTAATTAAGAAGGAGGTGATACATAGAATCAGCCTGACCCTGAGCCATAATATTCCTTCAAGAGATGAGTACACTAATTTCATTAACAGCAGCACTTGAATAAAAATTCAAGGTAAGAACCAATTTAGTAACCATGGAATTGATCTAGCTCTCACAAAAATGAAAAATAAATTAAAAAAACCCTTGACATTAATGGGAGCTGGAACTGGTCTTTTAAGATTACTGCTAATCTAGAGGTAGAAATAACCTAAAAGTCTGAATATCATTGAATGGCAAATATACAAATGTTCTTACCTGTATGTTTCTAATGATATTGTGATCTTCTGGTAACTCAGGGTTAATTGCAATAACAATATCCTCATAGCCACCATTTTTCAGCTGTACCATAGAACCTCTCACCACAGGTACTAGAAATAAAAGAACCAAGCTCTTAAACATCCTCATTGTCCTGTTCTCCACACTTGTTTGTTATGAAAATGATGGCACAGCAGCTCTATTTATACAACTGCTTATTTACACAGAAGAGTTTGTATATTTTATGGCAAGTACCAGTATATATGGATGTGCTGTGTAAATCAAGGTTGCATAATTGCATCCAATATGATGGTGTCAGGTTATATATTAATACACTAGGGAAATTCCTAAAGACGGTAATAATCTAAATCTGAACTATTTCCTCATCCATTTCATGCATCCTGAAGTGACCGATGTTGTGTTGTCATGAATATATTATAAATTATTTATAAGGAATTTAAATTTTACAGTATCACAAATCAACTTGCAAACATAGCAGTTCTGAACTTCTAGGAGAAAACTCTGATCAGTACAAGAGCTATGAACTTAGGCCCTCTCAGAGATACAGAGAGGCCTGGGCCACTTCCAACTTTTGAGGACCCTAGCCACAATAAAAATAAAAAATGAGGACACATGAAAACAAAATAAGGCAACAAAAAACCGAGTGAGACAATTTGAATTTTTTTTATTTAACAAATGCTTTTCTAGCTTTTTTCTGTGCAAATGCACTAATTATTGAAGAAAAATCTCACTTTTGTGCAATGTTACAGTTGATATTAAGCATGGCGAGCCCATTCAAACACTCTTGTCCCATAGTTGAACATATCAAAGGGGTAGCCGTGTTGGTCTGTATCCACAAAAACGATGAGGTGTCCAGTGGCACCTTAAAGACTAACAGATTTATTTGGGGATAAGCTTTCGTGGGTAAAAAAAACACTTCTTGCATCTGAAGAAGTCGTTTTTTTACCCACGAACCTTATGCCCAAATAAATCTGTTAGTCTTCATGGTGCCACCAGACTCATTGTTTTTATAGTTGAACTGTGATAGCTCTTTACCTGCTTCAACACGTTGAGGGTGTGTTCATCTGAAGCCACTGATGCAGGCAAACTGACAAAAATGCGCAATGCAATTGTGATATTAGGAAACACCCTAGAGAGTCCAAGTTCGAGTATTTCTTGAAGCTATTCCTTTGGCTTGCAATCCAATTTAAAGTTTGTGGAATATATCCATTTGAGGAAGATGACCTTGTCACTGAGATCTTTTGACATTTCTTTGTTGTACAGTTGCTGAAATTGTTCAGCTGCAGGAAGTAGATCTTCATTATTCAGCCAAAGAAATCCAAAAAGGGTACAAATTAGTCGCAGTGACTCAAATTGACGTGTAAGACCTGATTGAATAGAGTCAATGATGACAAGGAAGACATTGACCCTATAATGCTGCTCGGCTTTGGATTCAGTAGGTAAGTTGCGATTGATGGAGAACTCAGATGAAATGCCAATATTCTGTGCTACTAATTTGGCATCCCATTGTTCAAGAATCTGTTGAATGTCATTGATAAGACTTTCAATGTTATCCCTCTCAACATCAAGTGTAGCATTGCGTGCTTCAACTACCAGATAAATTTGGTGGATCATTGTAAGTAGCTTCATCCACAAAGATAACATCAGAATGCATTCAAATTTGGACACGTGCTTCTGAATAGACTGAAGTTCAGTTTGAGCCTGTGCAGTGAGATTGAGAGATTCAAGCTCATTTAAAGCCATTCTCACTGAATTCAAATGCTGCGCAACTGGTTGAACACCATCAATCCATGCAGACCATCTAGTTTTGGACATCTCATACAGTGAAACAGGAAGATATTGCTTCAGAATTTCCCACCTTTGTGGACTGCTACTGAAGAGATTGAACATTTGCTGAACAGTTCCAAAGTAAGTAATTGCTTCCTTGCATGATTCAGCACGGTCAACATCTACAAGGTTTAGTGTGTGGTTTCCACAGCTGGAGAAAATACAGTTTGAATTATGCTCAAGCAGAACTGCCTGTACACCTATGTACTTCCCAGCCATATTAGATCCATTGTCATAGGCTTGACCAATGCAGACTTGAAAATCTAACTTAAAACCTTCTAGAATTGCTAGTACTCTAGCAGCAATTTCTTTTCTAGTTTTTCTTGTGAAATTATAAAACAAAATAACCCTTTCTTCAATTGAAAATTTTGAGCTGTCTACAATCTTAACATACCGAATAAGCATAGTAGCCTGTTCCTTGTGAGAACAATCTGGAGTGGCATCAACAATGATTGAAAAATACTTGGCATCTCATTTCGAATCTCATTAAGAATTGTTGTTTGAACGTCTAACCCACATAGCTCAATAAACTCGTTTTGTATGCGTGTGGAGAGACAATGGACTTGCATGTGCTTTTGACTCTTTTGTGATTCTCAAACACATTTAACATGCTCTGATAAAATGTGGGTCATATTTACTGAGAAGCTCAAGTATGCCTAAAAAGTTTCCATGTGCGTGATCACCAATACGTTGACTGGAACCAAAGAAAGCCAATCCCTGCTCAGAAAGAAAAAGGATGACATTCAGGATGCACTCAAGAAGTTTTTTCCAGTTGTTAGTTTCTGTAGAGAGTTCAGTCAAGAAGAGTAAATTCTCAACTGAACTTTCAGCTGATGCTGCCCTACTGGCTGATTTCCATGCAACATAGATTTCTTTGTGTGACGTTGAACTCTCATGTGATGGTATTCGGTCTTTCAACTTCCTCCAACCTCTGTTGATGCTCCATTCTGATTGATTAGAGAGAACTGATGCATTCGCAGCACTTTTGTTCAAAATGAAGCAGGGTGCACAGTATGGAGATTGTTTTTCCATACTCCAGCATAACCGGTCTCTTGTGCAGATCTCAACATTTGGAAGAGTTTTTGTCAGCAGATGAGTAGGGAAAGCATGATTATCAGCATCTCGTGAAATGTTACTTGGAATTTCAAAACAACTAATTTGAAGAAAAGATTGCGTTTAGGCAGCATTGCTTTTGTCAATAATTCCACCATCAGACACAGTCAAACCTGTTGTACTCATGAATTGTTCTTGCTGTGTAAGATCTACATCTTCCTGTTGCTGTTGAGTTTCTTGATCGTACACAGTATCTTCTGCTGCATCTGTTACTGTTGGCACATCTCCTTCTTGACTACTGTCCTCATGTTCAGGTATTGGCATTGAAATATCACCTGTTGCAGTTGCGGAGTTCTCATTATCTGTAGCATTGTTTGTTGGGTAAGGTGTGTTTTCCAGTGGTTTGAGAAATTAAGTTATTGGCTTTGAGCTCTTAGCTGCTGCTTCACTCACTTGTTTTTGCCATCTCTTGCTTGCACCACTTTCAAATCTCCTCTTCATAGTGATCTATCTGATCAATATGTAGACTATCCACACTTGAAATATTCTGCTGTAAATAGGTAGCTTATCAACCCTTGAAATCTTCTACTGTAAACATGTACACAAATGCTGAATGGTATACAAATGCTGATAAGACTTAAAATGAAGGAATACAAATTAAGAACACAAAATGAAACAGTCAGGTTATTATCCTTATCACTGAATCAAAGTTCAAGCATGCAAGGTATAATTGCACAGGCTGAGCTGAAGACAAAGGGATGACATACATATAGTAAACACAGATATGGATACAGACAGAGGGATAATGTCCAAAAGTTTCAAATGTGTGTCCTCACGAAACTCACTGTACAAGATTGTCCTCACAAATTTTCACCTTGAATCTGGGCCTACAGACTACGAAAGCCTATGAAGATGGCCAAGCTATCAAGCTAGGGCTCAACCAACCAGTCACCTCTTTTAGCTACCATATGAAGATAATAATGAGGAATTCTCACACATAAATAATTCCTTAGTCAGCTAGGCATAAAATTATAAAGACACTAAAATGTAACAATGCTCTACCTTTCAACGTGCACTTGTTCCGGCACCAGCCACTAGTAGTGGTTTGTTTATATAATCAGCTGATCTGGGAGGATTCATCACGGTCTAGTCTTGTGCTATCAGAACTGATACATTTTTATTAATATTTATGAACATTTTACACTCATTAATATGATAAAATTATTATCAGTTACCAAAAAAAATATGTCTTTTACCAAATCACATCTCTTATTTGCTTAAATTTGCAGCTCTAAGCTGAGAGAATGTGTCACATTTTGGTCCGATAGGGATGCGCATAAAAACAAGTTGTGAAACTTATCAAATGCCAAAAAATTAACAAGTGTCTAAATTCGAGGCCTCCTTTGAGCTTAAGGCCCAGGCCAAATGGCCCTCCTGAACTCCACCCCCGAATTGGCCCTGTATGTACTACTGAATGGGACAAATGCAGATTGAGTGGCAAAGGCAGATCACTGCTAATCTATGTGATTTGAGAGAGAAATTCCATCTGGAATGTATCAGAGGACCTATTAATTTTCATTAGATGCTTTAGTTTAAATAGTACTATAGAAATTTGTCATATCTGCCAATATTTGAAATCTAA